ACATCATACTCCAGAAGGAAAGGGTCTTCTGTTTGGATTAGAAGATACATTATTTCTAGGAATTCCCTGTCTACATTGCCTGTCTAGGTGACCTTGTTTGCTATAATTAAAACACCTGACATTTTGATTTTTCTTTAAGCCTCTGGAAATCACCTCTCTTATCCAAGCACCAGTATTGTAATGAGCTTCAATATTTATGTATCTAGGATCCATTTCTCTATGGGTGCTGATCTTGTCTTTAAAGGCTCAATTACCATTTTACATTGGACATTAGCATTTTCAAAATCCAAAGAATCAATTATTATTTGTATAGCTTCTGGATTCTGTATCATTCCATTTACAGCTGAAATCAATCTTTTCAAAAAGTCAGTGAAGATTTCTTTTGGGCCATGTATAATTTCAGTAAATTACTCAGTTCTCTTTTCGATTTCTTCAATTATGATCCAAGCATACAACACTTCTGTACAGCATAGAGCTAGGGTGTAGTCATCATATAGAGACTGTCTTTGTGCATCAGCACAATTACCCTCTTGAAGAAGTTGGTCTTGGAAGACTTCAGTGCCTCTAGCCCTTTGTTGTTCAATGGTCCTACCCTCATCTTTCCATCAAGTCTGCCACTGCAATTGAGGACCTGGCTACTATACTGCTGTAACTAAGATTTTCCAGTTTTGTGCAAAGATTCTGTTACTAGTTGACCACGAATTTAACATCTGCTTCACAAAAGGGGAATGCATACCACATGAGTCTATGGCTTTCTTAAATCTCCTCAAATCTAACTTGCCACAGGAACCCAGTCAGCTCTTACACAGCCTTGGTGATTCCTGTCATTTGGCAGCTATTCTCTTAGGGTGACCGGAAAGATTAAATTTGGTTGTTTGATAACCTTGGGCTCTTTCTCTATGATTTTATAATGTAATCTTGAGGTTGATTCTCCTTTAAATTTCTCAGTCTGTGTCTGAATATCTCTATTATCTGTTTTAATATGCTTTTTCTAAGACTTGATACCTAGCAGTCAAATTGCATTATTTTCATTTGTAATTAGTTGTAGTGATTGAATATTATCAGTAGTAACTGATAGGGGATGCTCTTTTATATATGTTTCTCTTATTGGTTAATGAATAAAACACTGATTGGCTGATTAGACATACAGGAAGTGATGTAGCTGGGCAGAATCAGGATATAAGCAGGGACAAACAGGAAATCACTCTCTTAACCCAGGTGTGTGAAGGAACCAAAGAGTCATCCATCTCCATGGGGGAATGTGTGTAAACAGCACATGTGACTACAGGTTAGTGAAGGCACAGAACTAACAGGTGCTGAGGGGCTAATTACAGTGGTGTTTGTTGCCCAATAGACTGTGGCATTTGGGGATTCTGGCACTTGCTGCAGAAAGGCTGCAACAGGACAATCCCAGACTTGTTCCTAGAGCTCTGGGAATAAAGGGAAATCTCAGAGAGTGGTGTGGTGACTCTGCAGGGTGCTGTTATGGTACGTAGTGGCAGCTGCTGGTGGCTACAAAGCTATAGGCAAATGGCTATCTGGTGAATTCATGCTCCAGAAGTTAGATGTCAGATGAAGTGTAAATCTAATTAATCTTATCAGTAAAAACCAGAAGTCAGATATTAGGGTAAAACCTGAAAGATCAGAGAGGCAGTGGAGCAGTTACAGTCAAGTCCTTTCTCTTTCATTACTCCAGTCAAATCCTGTCTCCACCCACCCTATCACTTCCTGTTTCCTAGAGCCTCCAGACCCCTTGGTTTAACTAGTGGCTATCTCTGACCTCTGACTTCAGGCAAGCTTTATTAGTTAGAATACAAAATCAGTATCACCACACTGAGGCCAGCTTGGGAGTCACAATTCTACCACATCAAAGACATCACACTCTCTTTAGGGTTGTAGTCAGAAAGGGCTGACTTTGGCATGGAACAGAAGACTCTATTAGAAATCCATCTGTCCATGAGGTTGTTATAGCTATTCATTCAGTGCACAGACAGTCAGCACAGTGAGGTGGTTCAAGACAAAGCTGGGGAGTCCAGTGCTTTCATCAATATTCCTTAGAGGTTATAACTTGATGCCTGGTAAGTCTTCCTCCATCTTTATTTCTGTGAACTCACAGGGCAATATCTGTTACAACATTAACATATATGATCACAGAAAATACATTAGATTGAACTGAGACTCTTGTATGAAAAAAAGCCCCTGCCACCTGACTGCACTGATCCTACAAACCAGGTGCTGGGTGTCAGCAGGTTGGAAGACACACTGTCCCCTCACTTACTGCACCTCTAAAAGAACATGCAATTCCATCATTTGTCTGTAATTTTCAGAAATGAGGCTATAAACATTATGTATATCCCTTGTCCTCACCTATGCTTTTCCAAGCAGCCCACAAACTGAAAATTATTCTGCATCTCAAGGAAATGCTTTGGGTTTTTTTGTTTCTTTGTTTGCTTTTTTCCCCCAGTCATAAATTTCTATCCTGGATCCCTGGGCTGTCCAGCTCCTGCACTGGTTCCTGGCCATGCAGGCAGTGTCAGGTTTGGGCTCCCTCTTATGGCATGGTTTTATATAACAAATGGTTCATGACCTCTTTGAAGTAAACACTGAAGATTCTGGTTGGGAAGTCCTGGAAACACCCCCCCCTTAATAGAGCTCACTGAGCTTTTTACAGCACTGTATTTTACTTCTGTGACCAAATGGTTTCAGTTTCTCTGTACTTCACCCTACTATAAAAGCTACAGTGCTTTTCATCATTTGCCCACTTGGGAAAATTCAGAGAGCAGCACAAGATTGCAGGAGGATATAAAAGAAAAGAGGCAGAAAATTTCTACCCATACTGACCAGCAAGAACAGGTAAGAAGAGACACCCTTCCTAGGTCTGGGGAATTCTCTGGAACATATGACGACCATAAGCCTGAACAGGAATGAGATGGACTTTTTGAGGGTTAATATTACTTTTTAGAACCTCTATGACTAGAAATGGCTGCTCCTGAGCAGGAGTGGGGCACAGCAGCCAATTAAACCTGGGTGGTATTATCAGGGCAGCCAGTTTCTAAATGCCACCACTATACTAATTTTGAGTTAGGAACAAGGATACATGTGACTGAAACAGGGCAGGATATGCCCTGGAATTGTCTTCCTTGGTGTTTTCCTAGTCAGTGTTGACAAGGACACAGGTAAATAACTATGGTCAGTGATGGAGCAGAGCTGCTACTGAAAGGGCTGCCTGTGCCTGATTTTCAAGAGCATAAACAGAATGAGGCAGGGGAAGAGCCACCGCTTTGGTGAAGGACAAAGAGAGGAAATGCTGTGTTGCCCTAGGAACACAAGTGAGTAAGAGATGTGGTCTATTCTATAGCTGAATATGAGTGACTGGTGGCCCCAGAACACAAGCTCAGCTTACCACACACAGCATGTTCCAACTTGGCAAGTTTCTTGAGGTTTCTGTAGCAACAGAATAAAGATAGTCATAGATCAAGGTACATGGGTGGCAACATGGAGCAGGCAGATTATGGCAATATGGGGGAGTTTGCTACAGGCCTTCTGATACAAGGAATGGCCATGGAAGCAGCTAATGATAACCCAGGAAATTCTGGCTCTAGACATTACAACATTCCAGATATCCACATTCACACAATTTCTAATTAGTCAGTCAACCTTGTAGGTTCATTGACATAGTTATGGCTTTTTCTGGGGAACCTCAATTCATAGCTGAATCCCAGAGTGAAAGGTGAAGGATGGGCAGTCACCATCACACATCTAATCTTGGATGCCAAGTGAATTTTCTCCTTGACTGATTCATCTCCTCATAAGATTGGCTCATTCCTCATGTCCGTGTACTCCTTAACTCTCACCTGAAGGATCAGACCCTATACTGTAGACAAGGACTTTCTAAAAGATTCCTGGATACTCATAACTGAGGACAAAGTCTGATTACCTTGTCCTCAACTCCAGGCCCTCAGGCAATATTTCCTGTATTTTGGAGACCAGAACTCCAGTCCACAAATCATTGTCACTCATCACATTTTGCTTTGACAGCTTTGTTCTGCCTGGTCAGATCCTAGCCTATAATTCCATGTGTTTCTCTTCCTCCTCTTTGCATTCCTCAGTTTTTTACCAGACAGAAAACCCAAGGAGAATGGCACAAATTCATTATTTGAACCACCAGCTCTCCAGTTCATTGCTATTTACAACACTGTTGCTTTGTGCAATATCCAGTATGTGCAGAGTTGGGTTTAGTCTCATGTGCTGTGATCCCAACCCAACTTTTATTCATTGCTGATTCACAGTTAATGAAGCTTAATTTTCAAGGCACTGCTCTTGTGTAGCCGTTTGTCTGGGAGAGAACTGTCACATACTTCTAGATGTTTTGCAAAAAACATATTATGTTGGTTCTTTTGCTGAAATGGCAATGTGATTCATCCTGTAGACAGAGACTATTTGCCACATGAGAATAACTACTATGATAGACAGAGTGGATACATTTTATAATCTCTAGAAAATCTGGGTGCAACATGGGTGTAACTATTCAGATGCATAGAATGAATATATTTTATAATATCTAGAAATAATTGTAGGGATGCATCAAACAATGAAGCATTAACTCCCTGGTTGTCTATATTTTGCAATGGTAAACTAATGAATAAATGAATATTTGATTAATTATGTGAGTGGCAATACAAGATAATTTTTCTAAATCTGATTTTATTTTCCATTTGATGTCTAGTACAAAACAGTTAATATGGAAAATTTTCAGTGCAAAAGTAAACAGAATATTTATGTTGTGAGCAGGGAATGCTGTCACTGTCACATTACACATGAAATTCTTCAATACTATGTTATAGGACTCTAAAATTATACTGGCTTCTTTCAACTATGTCTCTGATTCACAACAGTGCTGTGTTTCTTACTCTTTTTTTTGCAAGTTTCATAACTCTACCTTCTGAGAGAAAGAATAAAAATCTAACTAATCACATCTGTCCCTCTAAACACAGGGGACAAGGCTGCACAATGGCCACAGAGGTCCACATGCCAGGCCCCATGTGCCTCATTGAGAATGTGAAAGGTCAACTGAGAGCCAACCAGGAGGCTCTGGGGATCCTGGAGGACATCACACAGCCTGTGGTAGTGGTGGCCATCGTGGGTCTCTACCGCACAGGCAAATCCTACCTGATGAACAAGCTGGCTGGGAAGCAAACAGGTGAGTGCCCCCAATACAGCTGTGCTGGCTCCCAAGAGTGCACTACTTCCTGCATGAGAGTGTGTAGAATTTAATCTTCTTGTTACAGTTGCATGTTGGGATCCTTTTTGTTGTTGTTACTTTGTCTGTTTCCTTTTATTTTTGAGACAAGGCCATGCTGTGTAGCACAAGTAGGTCTTAAGCTCAGCATGTAGTTCAGGCTGACCCTGAACTCATAATCTTGCCTTGGCCTCCTGAGTGCTGATGACAGGACTGCACTGTCACATCCAACTCCCAGTTTCCCTTCCAAAAGCACAGCTGGTTCCTTCTCTAGATGGAGAAAGGCAGTAATAAAGAGAATTTAATTAATATGTTAATAAACTTTAGAGTATTCTTAAAACTGTCATGTAACAACAGCAAGTTTCTACTAATCTGTATGGTTAAAAAAGGCTATCTATAGCCGGGTGTTGGTGGCTCACGCCTTTAATCCCAACACTCAGGAGGCAGAGCCAGGCAGATCTCTGTGAGTTCGAGACCAGTCTGGTCTACAAGAGCTAGTTCCAGGACAGCCTCCAAAGCCACAGAGAAACTTTGTCTCGAAAAACTAAAAAAAGGCTATCTATGTAATACATATTGACTTTTTTATTATTTCAAGTTATATAACATTTATCTTTATAATTGTTTAAGGATCCAGTTCTGTGGCATTAAAACAAAGTTGTGTATGTATGTATTTCCACCATTGATCTTTAGAACTAGCTCATTGTCACCTGTCCCACTATTCCACATGCTATATCTATGAATTTGGCTGTCCTAGTGATGTCATGTAAGTAGACTCATAAAAATATGGGTCTTTTGTGAATGGTTCTTCCATTAACCATGACACCTTCCAGGTTTGTCTCTGTGAGAAAATTGTTTCAAAAATCGCCTTATCCACTCACCTGCAGACAGACAGCTGAGTACTCTGAATTATGTTGACATGAAGATAGTCACAGAGACTCCCTTCTGAGTCCAGGCTTTCAGGTTCTCTAGGTTGTATGAGTCTCATCACTGATCCACTGACTGACAGCAGCAATGTAAGGAAGAAGGATTTTCTTTGCTCGCAGTTCAGGGGATCTCAGCTCACTATGATGTGGAGATAGGACTTTGTGACTGACTATATGCGTAGTGGAAGGAGCTTGTAGCTTATTCATGATGACTAGGAAGCAGAGAGCAGATGGCCACAAGAAAGGCCAGCAATAACCTTCAAATATTTGCCTTCTGCCAGTAAGGTCCTACCTCCTAATGCTTCCACATCTCCCAACACAGAGCCACTAACGGGACCAAGTGTCCAAATCCATGGACCTGTGATGAACATTTACCTTCAAACCATAGCATTCTACTCCTGGCCCCAAAATGCTGTGCCTGCATCTTCAAAAGTCACCATAGTCTTAGAGTTCTCACATTGTATAAAAGTCCACCATCTTATCGGCAACTTAAGGCAACCTGTAACATACAATAGCAGTGAATAAATATTCCCATTTACAATGTTCAGGGGATAGGAAGGAGAGAAGACACCATAGCAAGACTCAACCCAGAAGGGTAGAATCAAACCCTGTAGCTCCATGTGCAGCATATAGTTTATATGGAGGTCTTTTCTAGACAACATCAGCCTGCAGGCCCTGACTCTTTACAGGATACAACAAGCTCTTTCTGTAGGGCCAGGTCCTCTCTCTGACTCTGACTTCCCTCAGTGGACTTCCCACAGTCTTGGCATTTCTAACTTCCTGGGTCTCCCTTTTAACTTCAGCTGTACACTTACAGCCTCAACATAGCAAGCTCAGGAGCTGCACATGAGAGAGTGACCTTGCTATGGAACCCTGGGGCAAGTTTGGAGGCCTTTTCACTTGCATTCTGCATACATGAAAACAGAATTTCTGTTATGTCTCTCATTGTGTGATCAGTACTGGCTTTTGTTTTAGTTAATTCTCCTGACTTAACTGTGCTGATTTTTCAATAGAGATTTATTTTAATTTTACATGCATGAATATTTTGCCTTTGTACCAATACATGCCTGGAATTCACAGATGCTAGAAAGGGGCATAAGGTTTCCTGAAACTAGAGTCATAGGCAGGTGTGAACTGCTATGTAGGTTCTGAGAACTGAACTCTGGTCCTCTGCAAGAGCACCAGGCACACTTAACCTCTGAGCCATATTTCTAGTTGGATTGTACTAATTCTATGATTACTTTCAGGAAGCCCTTGTTCCTATACATCTAATCCCTTCTTTCCTCTCTGCTTTTCAGGCTTCTCTCTGGGTTCCACAGTGCAGTCTCACACCAAAGGGATCTGGATGTGGTGTGTCCCTCATCCCCAGAAGCCAGGCCACACCCTAGTTCTGCTTGACACTGAGGGCCTGGGAGATGTAGAAAAAGTAAGGACTGGGGGCACAGTTTGCAGTTCATCCCCTCATGTTTGAGTATTCTACCCTGTTCTCTATGCTGCATTAAACCTTATTATGTATTTATTTATTTAGTGTGTGTGAGTGTGTGCCTGTGTGTGCATTTCATGTGCCCTGATGCGTGTCCCACAATGCAGATGTGGAGGTTAGAGGAAAACCAGTGGGGTCAGTTCTCTTTCCAGCATGTGCCTCTGGGATTGAACTCAGTCTCCAAGGCAGGGAAGCAATAAAGTTTTAACTTATCATAGCATCATTTTCATATTTATTATATAGTATGTGCCATATTTTGATGAGGGATGTCCTTCTGTATATATGTTTTTCTTATTGGTTGATGAACAAAACACTGATTGGCCAGGCAGGATGATCTGTAGGACTAGGAGGATTCTGGGAAGTATAGCCAGTGAGGAGTTGTCATGTGATTCCAGGAAGTGACAAAGCTGGGTAGAAACTGCCACTAGCTAACCATTGAGGTCTTGAGGTCTGTACAGATAGGCAGAAAGTGACATACATGGGCAGAATCAGAATATAAACAGGGACAAACAGGAAATTGCTCTCTTCTCTGTGGAGATGCTGAGCAGTTAACATATAGGACAACAGAGGAGTAGAGGTCCCTGGACCTTTTTCCATTAAGAGAAGACCACATGGGAATACTTAGATTATCAGAAAGGGGTTAGTAATTAAGACAGGGTCAACAATAAGACACATTAGCAAACAGCCAACAGTTTCATAAGTAATATAGTGTTTTGTGTGTTATTTGCCAGTTTGAGTCATGGTGGGACCCAGGTGCTGTCGGGAGAGAGTAGAAATAACAATGTTTAGCCTACAGTAATGAGGGAACTTATCACAGGACTGGATTGATGAATAGCAGGGTAGCGGCCTGCAACACTGAATCACTAACAACAGACTAAGCCGCACCAGTGAGAATCATCACAAATAAAACCACAAATCACAAGAATGTTCACCCAGCAAGAATTGTCAATGGCATCCTTAGGTTTATTGGTGTTCCTTTTCTTTTGTTTTGTACCTTACATAGGCCACACAGGTTTTTTTTATTTTGTTTTATTTTTAGGCTAAAATCTCTTCTAAGTGAGTGTATTTTTACCACTGTTGGTCTCAAAGTGACAGGGAACAAGACAAACTCCTGATCCATGTGTGTTTTGACTTACAGGGTGACAATCAGAATGACTGCTGGATCTTTGCCCTGGCTATACTTCTAAGCAGCACCTTTGTGTACAACAGCATGGGACCCATCAACCAACCGGCCATTGACCAGCTCCAGTATCCCTTCTGAGGGTCAGAACAGCACCAGAGCAAGTTGGGTGACCTACCCTCATGAATCAGGTCCATCACTCTGGTTGTTGGTTAATGAAATAACAAACAAAGAAAGAAACAAAAAACCCCTCACATATATGTACCTGTAGCGTTCACACTTATGTTAGGAACAAGACAAATGAAGGTTAGCAGCTAGGTTCCAGCAAGATGTGGAATTACGTGGAATGGGTACATTAAATCTTTGGTTGGTGCTATGGTTGTTTCTGGATCTTTCCTTAATTAGCTGTGCAGCTATGTGACAGAACTGACAGACAGAATCAGATCAAGATCTTCACGTGACCAGGATGAGGTGGAGGACTCAGATGAGTTTGTGAGATTCTTCCCAGACTTTGTGTGGGCTCTGAGGGACTTCTCTCTAGAGCTGAAATTAAATGGGGAACCCATATCTGCAGATGAATACCTAGAGAATTCCCTGAAGCTTAAACAGGGTAAGAGTCACACAACATCTAAATGAGAATATAAATTAAACCCACGAGAATTCAGATTTTTCTATGTATAGTTTTCATGTATCTGCAGTTTCTATTTCTTCTAGCTTGTTACTCCTGGGAATCAGTGCTTAAATATGATTTAATAGATTCACTTAAACATTTTCTCTTTTGTACTGAGAACAAATTTGTCTTTCACCTTTCCCTTTATAGTGATTTATTTGATCTCTCTTCTTAAGACTTGTTTTTGTATTGAAACAGGGAATACAGTACTTATGAAGGTGTATTTGAAAGTGGTAAATTGTTACCAGTATTGTAGCCCAAATGTTGGAACAATGTGACCCCCAACTTCCAGTTGTTATTGGAAATCAAATGGTGCTGTACTCTTGAATTTACATGTCTACACAGCAAGTCCAGTTACACTAAGTGGGTTTAATACTTAGAATGAAATATTCTTTCTTGTCCTAAGAAGCCTAACAAAGCAGTCAGTCTTTTGTTAGACTGAAAATCCTTAAACCCCACTTTTCTGTTCTTTTGCTTTGTGTTTTCAGGGTCTCACTGTCTGACCCAGGCTGGCCTCAATTCATAATCCTCCTGTCTCAGCTTCTAGTATGCTAGGATTACAAAAGATATGTGATTAAATTTAAAAATATATACTCACCTTCCATGTCTTGGCTGAAAGTCCTCCTTTTGCTCTTTTTAGGTATTGGTCAAAGAGATAAAGTAAAAGAACTAAATCTGCCTCAGCTCTGTATCCATAAGTTCTTCCCAAAGAAGAAATGTTTTGTCTTTGAGCGGCCAGTGCATGGGAAAAAGGTTGCTCAGATAGAATCATTGCAGGATCAAGACCTGGATTCTGACTTCGTGGAACAAGTGGCAGAGTTCTGTTCCTATGTGTTCAGCTGCTCCAAGGTTAAAACACTTTCAGGAGGCATCAAGGTCAACGGAGCACGTGAGTCCTTTCCAAGTCCTTTTGCTCACTTTTTAGGCCACACTACCGTGAGATAGCCATGGCCAACCTCTGCTTTGAAGAAACATAAACCTATCACCAATGTAGTGTTAAGATGTAGATGGTACCAGCATTTATAATAGATTTTGTCTATCAGATTTCCTTCTTGGGAGGAAGTAAAAGGGGGTAAAAGAAAAAAAAAAACTTTTAAATTACTCTAGAAAAATGAATTCACCAGACCTATCAGATTTCCTTCTTGGGAGGAAGTAAAAGGGGGTAAAAGAAAAAAACTTTTAAATTACTCTAGAAAACTGAATTCACCAGAAATCGACTAAATAATTATGGCTTTGAAAATTTAGGCATCAGTACAATAAAATTCACATAGAGCTAGTCATTGTCACATCAGTACATACTTAAAGTTCTATTGGGTAAGGCAATTTATTCTAATCAACCTGATGGAGAATTTCTGATTGGGAGTGCATGTTTTATTACTAAATTAAAATGAAATGCTTACTATGGACATGTCTGGTGACACAGACAAATATGACAGAGGTATGGAGCCTGTTCTCGTGGTGCTTGCACCAAAATGGACACAAACATTCCATAGACACAAGCCCATGTACTCTCCATCCAGCATTCTTAGCCTTTGGGGTCTCACACCTCATGAGAGGATCTTTACACAGAAGAAGGTCTAATCCCATCAATGTGAGTTGGAGGCTAAGATGCTTCTGTCATTTCTCCAAATGATGCTAAGGGCACTGACGCTTTAAATCATCAGTGTTAAACATATCTAGAATTAAACAGAATATTGTCATCATCCATCAGTAGCAAACATTGTCATCTGTTTGTAGGACTAAAGAGTTTGGTGGTAACCCATGTGAACACCATCTGCAGTGGGAGCCTGCCCTGCATAGAGAATGCCGTCCTGGCTTTGTCCCAGACAGAGAATGCAGCTGCAGTGCAAAAGGCCATTGCCCACTATGACCAACAGATGAGCCAGAAGTTGCAGCTGCCCACAGAGACCCTCCAGGAGCTGATGAATCTGCACAGGGCCAGTGAGAAAGAAGCCATCAAGATCTTCATGGATAATTCCTTCAAAGACGTTAATCAAGTGTTCATGACACAATTAGTGGTAATTTGTCTCTCAAATTTACCTAGATGTAGATTTTGATAGGCAATGTGCTGTGACAAAATGAAACCAGTGTTTGAGGAAGGCATGTGTTACTAGATTTTAAAGTAGCAATAACTACTTCTTAATAATCATACTAAATGGGACAAAAATCGATCAACAGAGACTCACAGCTTTAAAATATTTTTTTCTTTCAAAATAAGTCAGTAACATTGCCCCTTCATTGACTTAAGTATAGAGAAGTAATTTGTGTGTCTGGTCAAGTTGCATGCCCAGTGTCAGTAGACCGATTCAAAGTTCAATACAATAGCAAAGCTATTTATGCTTTGAACTATTAGAGGCAAATTGACATTGAGCCATGTTTATTTCATGTGACATCTCTAATCCAGCCTGAAATCAGTTTACTTCTAAAGCTATAAATCTCTGCTCTGAACTCCACTGCCAAGGAGCAAGGATGACGTCAGTAAAAGGAAAGATGCAGTCAATGCTTATAAGTTTTCCTTTGTTTGTTGTTTTGTGTTTGTGTTTGTTTTGAGAAATGCATCGTAAATTCCAAACTCAGGCTTCATTCCATTCTTAATTATTTTCTTTTCATTTCTACATCAAAGACAGAGTTAGAAACAAAGCAAGAGGAATTCCTTAAGAAGAATGAGCAGGCATCCTCGGATCGCTGTTTAGCTCTGCTTCAGGATATTTTCAGTCCACTAGAAGAAGATGTGAAGCAGGGGATTTATCACAAACCAGGGGGATACCATCTTTTTATCCAGAAGACACAGGAGCTGAAGAAAAAATACTATGAAGAACCCAGGAAGGGGGTTCAGGTAACAATGGTTACATGTATGATCTAGAAAGCCACTGACTTTCCTTCAGACTGCAGCGTGGACTCCAAGCATCATTATGAGAGTGTCTTAATGTTTGCATTCAAGGCATATGTTCCTTTAACATCACATAGGTGAAGGTTGTCACACTACATATGTCTTGCATATTCAGAGACAGTGCACTCCCTTAACAATCAAATTCACGGTTAACAATCATATTAACCACCAGTATGACTGCCACCCTGTGTTTCAGCTAGATTCTTTGTGTTGCAAAGGGCCCTTAACAAACTTATAATTCATCAGTTTGCCTCAGAATTAGCTTTAAAAGACAACTTGGTGTGGTAATATCATTATATGTCTTGCATATTCAGAGACAGTGCACTCCCTTAACAATCAAATTCATGGTTAACAATCATATTAACCACCAGTATGACTGCCACCCTGAGTTTCAGCTAGATTCTTTGTGTTGCAAAGGGCCCTTAACAAACTTAAAATTCATCAGTTTGGCTCAGAATTAGCTTTAAAAGACAACTTGGTGTGGTAATATCATCCCCTGCCTCTTTGTCTGTTACTCTTACCCAGCCTTATACTGTGAGGGTCTGAGAATCTGAGAATATTCTGTGACAAACACAGGGTTTGAGAAGGCCAAAATTTATTTTAAAAGCTGCGAATTCAGGGAGGTGTCCAGTTTCTGATGTGATATTTCTCTCCCTTTTTTTGCTTTTTGCTTTTTTTGGAGACAGGGTTTCTCTGTGGCTTTTGAGGCTGTCCCAGAACTATCTCTTGTAGACCAGGCTGGTCTCGAACTCCCAGAGATCTGCCTGTCTCTGCCTCCCTAGTGCTGGGATTAAAGGCATGAGCCACAGCTGCCCAGCTTGATATGATATTTCTTGACACCCATTTCTGCTGTGCAGCCTATCCCCATATAATTGGGGGGTCTGGGGTCAAGAAACAACCAATAGATTCTATGTGAGATCTGGAGAGGAGGAGTTTAAAAGGTTGAATACATACTATTCTGAGAGAAGGGCTGCAGAGCTCTCTTTGTTGGGCTGGGTAGGGATTAGAGTTCAGGTCACTTTCCTTTCTCCTTGTTGAATCTGAGTAGGTATGGTGGTAGGGCCTAAAACCTCTATCCCATTTTCAACAGGGTTCAGTATTCAGTTAGCGGCAATAGGTTCTGGGATCCATTCCTCCTATGGGGGAAACTTCTGAATCTGAAAGTATTCCAGGATCTGGGAGGGCCTGGTTGCACATCCTGAGTCCCCAAGGCTTTCTCAAAGCCCACGCAGTGGACAAACCAACAAAAATAGTTATTAGGACCAGGCTTATCTTTTCCACCTGCTGGCCAGATTGGTGTCCCTCTCTTCTCATAAGGTCTTTGTCCATCCATACTTCTTCACCCATGGCCCATGTGTCTAACATCTCAAGAGGAGCAGTAATAATCCTCTAGAACCCCATAATTTAGTTTTCCCACTGGGCAAGCATAGAATGAATTTGTTGCCTAGTCAGTCTACAGAACAGGATGCCCACAGCCAAAGTCTTGATACCCCTAAATACATCTGTGGGACCCCTGATCCTGGGGCAGGGCCTTCAATCCCAGCAGTCTGCAGAGATCCACATGGAACATGGGGGACCCATATGTGGTAACATTTGCAATCATTGTCTATTTCCTAGTGTGGGATAGGGAACCATGACATCAGGACTGACATATATGGGTTGTTGGCTTTTATCAGTCCCATTAGGGAGAATAGGAAAGTCAGGTAGAAATGAATCTTAGCTCTAGTGGGTCCTGTGGGTGGGGTCACAAAGTCCATGTTTGTTTTTGTCCTTGTTGGATCACTGTCTGGAACTGACTTTAAGTGGGAGTGATGTACACAGGATTTAATTTCATCTAGTTTCACTGCTGAGGGTGTGTTCAATATAACGGTATGGAGTCCCTTTCACAGGGGCTGCAAACACTCCTTCTGTTTTTTTTTTTTTTCTGACCCAGTCAAGGTCTCCTGGCTTGTAGCTATGAGGTTTTGTGTGGGGAGTGGCAGCTCATATCCCTGCCATAGCAGAGTCAACAATCTATGTTGGGTGCGGTTTTCTGGCTTCAGTTGCACTATGATTGGCTCTAGGTGCTGTCCTAATACAGGTGGGTTAGTTTCTGACCACATTAGTGGGAACTTTAATTGGAGCTCCTTCAATGGGGGGTGAGGGGTTCACTTGGCATTCCAAGGCTCCCTTTCCCTGGGTATTAAAGATGTATTCTTCCCCCAGGCAAAGAGCAATGAAATTCCAGAATTTGGAGCCTTCTTTTGAGGAATTTTTATGCTTATAGCATCATCTTTGAAGATCGTATTGTGCAGCAAATCTTACCACAGGAAGCAGTAAGAGCATTTGGGGTCACCGTGAAGGGATGAGTCACTGTGCCTCTCCCTAGATTGACCTTTCTTACAGTGGCTCATGGGATGTTGGTACCCATGACCTAAGATGAAAGTCTCTTGGGTGGCGTTAGTGATTCCCCTAATAGACCTAATGTCTATTAGGATGTCTACAACCTTTCCCTCTACTTTGGGAGTTACCCTGGCCTCTGGAAGGGAGAAAAAGCCCTGACCTCCTCAGTTTTCAAGGTTGAGGGCTATATTGGAGATATTTTTCCCGGACCAATTGGAGTACTCTCTGTGCTGATGTCCAAATTTCTTACAAATAGCACACTGATTTCTTTGTAGCATGGTCTATCCTCAGCGGGTCTCTAATCATGTGGAGGCCTGATTCCTTATTCCCCTCCCAATTATTCCCCATTACATGAGGACACCAGGCTTGCCAGGTCTTTCGCCTTGTGTCCTCATGTAATGCAGCTGACATTACTTTACAGTCTTCCTAGCCTTCCTCTCCTCCTTTTCCCGGGATTGTTGTAAACTCTGGTCACTATTTCTACCAACTTTGAGAGATTTTTCTCCCTCAAATCCCTCCAACTTCTGAAGCTTTTTTCTTATGTCAGATGCAGATTCAGTCACAAAAGCTATGTAGATAGCTCTCCTATTCTCTTCTGCTTCTGGATCCATAGGGGAAAGGGTGAGATACACTTTTATCAATGGTTTCCAAAAAGTAGTTGTGGACTCCTTGGTTTCCTGGGCCACTTAATGATTTTAGACAAATTTATTGGTTGCTTTGCAGCCACCCAAAGATCATCCAATAAATTCTGGAGAAAGACCCTCAGGGACTTTTACCCATGAATTGGGGCCCTAGTTGGTCCAAAGGTAATCTTGTGGTTTGTTGTTGTGGCCAGTGCTGGGGCTAACCAATCAGAAGAGGGTGGAATGTTTGTGGAGTATCCTTATTCTAGACACCTGTCAAGGGGGTTTGGGGTTTCAGCTCAGCCTCAGGAAATTGTTGGAAACAGCTTAGGGAAGAATGGTCTGGGACCAAATGCAGTTTCTGCAGCTAATTAAGATTTAACAATACTATCCTCTTTTAATCATTCCCTCAGATCTTTTTGGTAGATATGAAAGCTACACCACACTCACCCCACTTATCCTCACAGCACCATTAATTCCAAAGTTAGAGCCCATAATCTAGAAGGGCCATATATTTTGTTCAATACAGGCCTCCAATAAAATAATTCCTTAGTGGTACAAGGAACCTGTACCATGTACCTCTTTCTGTGTCTGGAAATCTCAGCACCAAGCAGCATCACTTGAGGAGAGGATGGTACAGAGACAGGCACAAAAGTTTGTACTCATTTCTGCTATTAAATTCATGTTCTTTTTATTTGAAGGCTGAAGAAGTTCTTCAGAGATTTTTGCAGTCCAAGGATGATGTGACTGATGCAATTCTACAGACAGACCAGGAGCTGACAGAAAAGCAAAAGGAGATTGAAGGTGAGGCACAAGTTAAGTAACTACATGCCTTTGAAAGCTGTGGAATGTTTATTACTTGTAAACCTGTGACCCTAAAGCAGATCTAAAAGAGCAAAGCTGTTTCCTATTGGTTAGTATCAGTCATGGTTAGGACCATGATGTCAGTAGTAACAATGAAGCAGGTGAGGAAGAGAGCATCACATTGTGTCCTTACACATACCTTCTTGATCACCTTCCCAGTGGAGCATATGAAAGCTGAAGCTGAGGAGGCTACAGCAAAAATACGGGAAGAAATGCAACAGAAGATTGAAAAGTTGCTGAAACAGAAAGAGAAGAGCCACAAGAAGCACATGAAACAGTTGACTGAGATGATGGAGAAGGGACAGGGCCGGATGAGAGAAATGCAACAGAGGAATGAACAGTTGCTGCAAGAGAAAGAGAAGTGTCACGAGGAGCACATGAAACAGTTGACTGAGAAGATGGAGAAGGCACAGTACAGGATGAGTAAAATGGAAGAGAAGATTGAGCAGTTACTGCAACAGACAAAGAGTTATGAGGAACTCAGGAAACAGTTGACTGAGAAGACGGAGGAAGCACGGGTCCAGATGAGAGAAATGCAGGAGAAGTTCAAAAAGTTGCTGCAACAGAAAGATAACAATCATGCGAAGCTCATGAAAGAGTTAACTGAGAATCTGCTGAATGCACAGAAAGTCTATAAGAAAGTTTGTCAGGTACTTAAATTACTGAAGTTGTTCTCTTCATTTAAAAATATTTTAAAATGAGTGTGTATGTGTTTGCACGTGTTCATGTAGTGTCTTGAAAGGCCCAAAGAGGTAGTGAGATTCCCTGGACCTGGAGGTATAGGTGCTTGTGAGCCCCCTGGCTTGGAAGCTTGGAACTGAATTCCAGTCTGTTACACACTCTTTATTGCCGAGTCATCTATCCAGCCTCTGTTCTCTCCATTTCTCTTCATCTTGAAATGTAGTGAAGCCTAAAGACTGACCAGGCCTGCTCCCTAGTGTTGTTTATTCTTTAATACCTGTTTGATACCCTGATGCCCGTGTCTGGTGATTAAGTTAGTAGTGTGTAATGGTGTCATGCTAAGTCTTTAGTAATATACATGATATTCTTATGGCAGCTATGCTCTTTGTGTGATATCTTTACTCATTTCTTTTTTTTCTAGACTGGGTTTCTCTGTGTTGTTTTGGAGGTTGTCCTGAAACTCGCTCTGTAGACCAGGCTGGCCTTGAACTCACAGAAATCCGCCTGCCTCTGCCTACTGAGTCCTGGAATTAAAGGTGTGCATCACCAACACCCACTCTCTTTACTTGTTTCTTAAGACTCTATGAACCAAGAACTCTATTCCTATTACATAGAAGAAAGAAGCTCAGGTTCACTTAAGAGTAAAAGAATATACAACCTTAGTATTTTGGGAAATGGAGTCAGGATGATCAAAAGGTCAAAGTCATCCTCAGCTATATAGGGATGTGAAATTCCACCAGAGCAATAGCTCCTGTCTCAAATAAAAATCACTAGTTATAAGACACATACACTAGATTAAGCTGTTTTTCCCATAGTGGAATCTACAAAGGTAGTTTTTGTATCTCACACAGTGAGAGTTTATTCCTAAGAGTGTTTGTGAGGAAAGGAACTATTTAACCCTCACAAGTATGTGTCAGTCTGTCTATCCCTTCTTTTTCCTGTACTCTGCTCTCAATTTGTGTTCAGTCAGGATTGAGATGAGGTGATTCATTATCTCCAGTCTGGGACTCTCATATTCTTACCTTCATCTGTCACCCTGCTACCAAGTCATGGATGCCTACACTGAATTTTTCCTTCCCACCTCTCATCTCTTCTCTCTCACTACCTCTCTCTCTGAGTGCACACATGCGTGTGCATGTTAGTGCATACCCATCTCTGCACATGGATGTGAAGGCCTGAGATCTACTTCCAATTTCCTCTCTCACCCCCACTTTAGTTTTTGAGACAGGTTCTTTTACTGAATTTCGAGCTCCCAGATGCGGCTACTCTTGCTGGCCACTGAGTGCTAAGTTTCAAGGATCTGCCTGTATCTGCCTTGCAGGTCTGGCATTACAGAACAGTGCTGTATCTGGCTCTTACATGGACACCTGGTACTCTATCAGAAATGTTCTTGACTCAACCATGCCCCCACCTCCACCCCAACTAAATTTCTTAGACTAAGATTCAGAGCCTTAGTGAGATACTCAGAATTCATTCCCGTGCTGCATGTAAACATAAGGGGTGAGTAGGAGGATGAATTAAAGTCTATAGTGATAACATTTGAAGTGCATGATTTCCTATGGAGGTTATAGACAAGTGATGAAAAAAAATCAACACGGGTAACTTAGGTTCATCAATGGAACTGTTCCTTAGCTAAAACAACCCCAAAGTAAAATGACCACAGCTGCCAAGTAAAGGCATAATTTGGGGAGGAGGCTTAAAAATTCCCAAAAAGGAAAAGCAAAAACAACCCTATGTACATTAAAATTTCCTCACAAATAAAAATAAGTTAAAATTATAATAAAAGTTAAGTTTTGAGTAAATTTTAAGAAATTAATAATAAAAATAATGGAAACTGCATAGAACATGAGGATCAACTCAGAGTAATGATTCATTGTCTCTAATTGCCACCTTTTTAGATACGTGAACAACTACAGCAGGAGAAAATAAAACTTCAAGAACAAGTAAGACATTTGGAGAAAAGTCAATGTGTCATAAGCTGAAGGCCTGAAGAGCAGTGCCATCCCGCCATTTGGAGCAGAGCTGAATAGGGTATAGAATTTGGAATCAGGGACTCTAGTTGAAAAAAAATGCAAAGATATTCAGTGTGATCTTTGAAATCATATTTGTCTTCATATAAGATATCAAGAGCACTACTCAGAAGGAAATCCCTTTTCCAGATGATCTCAAGGATACAAATGGACATTTGTCACATTCAAAAATGTTGGTGCAAAACTAGGAACCAAGTTGTTCATGACTGTGATGGGTCAGAAATAGCAAACCTCATTTCCTGAAATGTAAAGTTATCCATTACATCAAAAGTGCTCAACCTTTCAGCAGTGGCAACTTACTCTATTATAAATCAAGAAACCTGCATTAAGATCTAGATACCCATATACAATAGCTACAGAAAAATAGAAGAAGCCATTAGCACAACAAGAAGCTGAATCACAGGTCTATGGACCAAAGAAGGGAATGTTTTACGTCATGTAGATTGACATTATAATGGGACATTTCTAAGTTTTAACTGTTGACACTGATGACATACTAAAACGTTGTACTAAGCATAATGTAGAAAAGTAATTTTAAAGATGGACTTGAAATGATGGTGGGTAATCTACAGCTATCAAAGGTATTTTAATGATTCATCTGCAACCATAAACTTAAACACTCTTTTTCTGTTGATTTTTACCCAAGAAGAATAAAGATTATTTTGCCATATTTGTGACCAGCTTTAGTACTAACGAGTATATCTAAAATATATCACAACTGCCAGAAGTGCAGGGTAAGTGGTTATAGATTTTAAAGGCTGAGAACTTTTGGGGAGTGTGCCAAATGCTTCAGTGGGTAAAATGCTTGCTGTGCAAACATGAGGACACAAATTCAGATCTCATCAACCACATAGCAAAACAGACATGGTGGTACACAAATGTAAGCCTAGCACTGAAGTTGGGCTAAGGGTAGACAGGGTCACTGGGGTCTACTGGTCAGTCAGCACAGTCAACACATGGGCTCTGGGTTCACTGAGAAACTCTGTTTTAAAATAATATGGATAGCAATTGAGATCTGGGTCATGCTGTTTTCTAGAAGTGTATATGAACAGATATAATCATATTAAGCAAATTAAATCAGTCTCAGAAAGACAAATGTATGTTTTCTTTGATACACATCGCCTGACTGCCTATAGAGACATATGAGAAACAAACAAGATATGGTTATATGGCATAGAATCATGTATAATTGTAAGACCTCCGGAAGCTCAGGCCTCCAGAATCTTGTCCCAGGACTGTGGCCACCCCAATCACCATGAGGAGGTGGAAACTTGATGAAAACAGCAAGAGGCTTTAATGAATGGTGGATGTTTGTACAAACGGGCTCTCTCAGCATGCAGGCTAGAGAGCAGCCCCATCCCCCAGGCACAGGCGTTTTTAAAGGCAAAAACCATAAGCTTAGAGAGGGGCCTCAACTCTCTGTCCATTGGATACGTGACCAGAGTCATGGGTTCCTAGGAAGCCCTTTGTCTTGAGGGGAGGCCTGGGAATCATATAGACTCCTGACCCCACCTGTTGTAAAACCTGCAGACCTCAGGATGTGCTAACTAATGGTAGCTATCTCTTTGTTTCATAGGGACAAATTAACAATAATAATTGTTAATTATTGACACATTGGCTGGTGGGCAATCTGTTTCCTTCATGAGACCCTCAGGGAAGGGGCATCTGGGAATTCTTGGTACCAAGTTATCTTATGGCCTTGTAAAGGAGTAATTGCTGGTGGCTGGCAAATTCCAGGCACTAAGTCATATTAGTAGCCTTGGTCAGTTTCTGGGCTATATTTCTTTGCTAATTTTTAAGTCTTTCATAATGAATATGTGCAATGAATATTCTGAAAACCATTTGTCATCAACAAAGAACAATTTAAAAGTAAGAATTCTGACAAGACCATGGAAATAACTTTGACAATTTAGATAAGTCAACTACTTTCTGAAAGAAAGCATAAAGCACTAACTCACTATATTTGTTATTCTTGGGTTGCTGCAACAAAACACTTGGCTAAAGCAATTCAAGGAAGAAAGGGTTTACTTTGGTTCACAGTCTAAGGGTACTGCCCTTCATGACAGGGATATCATGGTGGCAGGAGTATGAGGAAGCTGGCCATGTTGCATCCATGGTAAGAAGACACAGAGGGATGAGTACTGCTGGTTCAATCCATTGATCCTGTTTATTTAGCCAGAAACTCCAGATGATGGCATTCTCTGTCCACAGTTAGGGGAGTTTTCCTCCATTAACCCAATCTAGAAACTCCCCCACAGATATACCTGAATGTGTGTTCCCTGGGGAACTCAAGGTTTTGTCAAGCCAATTAACAATCATCATGATTAACTGACATACTCTATAAGGATAAACAAGGTCACCAGAATTATATCTGCTCAAGAAATTAAATTTAAAGTTTTTTAAAAAATCTAAAAGCTACTTGTAGCCAACTATAAGGGTCCAGCCCCCAGTCAGCACCAGGGTATGTAAAGAAATCCACAAATGTGGGGAGAGCTAGACTTTTCTATGTGAGAGGAGGGGGATAAGAAAACACAGACACTTTCTGGTGGTAACGTTCTCTTTACTTCATATTGAAAAGTCCTTTCTGAAAAAATTCTGTATATCTCATCCCAATGCTCTATTCACAGCATCTCCCTAATTAGTTCTATATCCTTCTCATTGCTCTCTGTGTTGAATCTTTGCTGCTATGTTTCTTCCTCTTCACCCCTGTTGCTTTCTGCTGTCTCTGACCTTCTGCCTCCTCACATTGCTGCTGCCTCTGCCTTCACTCTCTCTGCCCCACTGCCTTCTCCTCTGGTTCTGCTTTCCTACAGCGCAAGTCTGGACAATTATGAGTTACATTTTCAGAGCCCAACACCTTCTCAAGCCCCAAGATAAGTCTCATAGTTTCTCTCAGGCTAGGAAAGTCACAATGACCAGGAAGTGAGCAAGTGGTCTTGCATGTAGCTGTAGGTTGGTGAGGGTTCCCAGGCAATATATAAACATTTGGCTGAACCTTGAGGTTGGGGAGAACATGCAGAACAAAGTGGCTTTAAACTCTGGCCTTGAATCAGCAAAACAACACCTGAGGAAATGACCTATGTATTTGTCTCCAGGGACAACCAGATAGTTTCTCTAGGAGTAACCAGCCTGCTTTGAATTTGGTATGAAGCCTGTGTTAGCTTGTCTGTGTGAAAGCCTGTTTGTGATTGAAAATCCTATGTCACTCTGAGTAATATAAAATATCCTAGTAGTATCAAAATTACACAGCCTAAGCATCATCTTCCTGATGTATGTGTGCTGAGCAAGTATGAAACATACCACCAAAGGGCTGTGGAAAGAACTGTTCTTATAGGGAGGCATAGCAATAGTACCTGAGAAAGTTACAGGAATAACCATTTAGTCATCAAAGCACTGGCTCTGTTAAGACATGGTTCACAATAGTTCCTGGTGAGTCAGCTTTGTCAAGTTTGACTTTTCAACACTAGTTGTCACTGCTGTACAGTTCAATGGCTATCTGCAGCTACTTCTCTGGATCCAGGAGGCTTTTTATTACTTCACATGAAAAGAAGAAATAATATAAATTCTACAGAGTTCTTTCAGGTAATGCAAGAGGAATCATTTCCTAATTCTTTCTATGAGAACAGCATTGTTTCAATACCAAAGTCAGTTGAAAAGCAATACAAATTAGAGAAACCATAGACCAACATCCTTTATGAAATTAGATGCAAAACTCCATGACAAAATGTCATCCAGATAAACCAGGAATGCACTAAAATATAGTACTTACATCAGGCTTGATTTATACGAAGGAAAATGGCTGAAGCAAAAACATATAATTCACTACATTGAAAGCTTAAAAAGACAAAATAAAATAATGGGTTTTGCAAACAACTACATAAAAATCCTGACAGGGAGGTTCAGCGACCATGCTGGGAGGCATCTGACACTAAAGGTTTCCTTGCCAGGTCCGAGATTGGCAGTGAGACCTGACACACCCAGACACTGCTGAGGCCCCGTTGGCAGTTCCACCTCCATCCACCAGCCCAGGTAGGCCAGGGGCTGTCTCCTGTTCTGGTTCAGTGGGATCTGACACACCTGGACACTGCCTAGGCCCTGGTGGGAGTTCTGCCTCCATCCACGACAAGAGGACAGACATCAGAATATTGGAACTGTTTGCATCTACCAGAAGGGAAGCTTGGTCCCATACCCAGCAGGAGAGGAAGAGACTCCTGCTACACCCACCAAAAGAAAGGATGAGAAGAGGTCAAAGAAAAAGCACATTCAACAATAGAAAACCCAATATGACACCACAAGAGTTTCAATAGGATACCACTAGGAACCATTCACCAGCAAGACCTGAACATCACAATGCAGATGAACCAGAAGAGAATGGCCTTAAAAACATCTTCAGGAAAATGATAGAGGACCTCAAAGATTACATGAGAAAAATCCCTTAAAGAAATGGAAGAAAAAACAAACTAAAAAATACAAGATATCAACAAATCTCTAAAGGAAACAGTTCAAGACCTAAAACCCGAGATAGAGACAATAAAGAAAGCACAATCTGAGGGAATTCTGGAAATAGAAAAGCTGGGTAAATGATCAGGAACAACAGAATACAAGAAATGGAAGAGAGAATCTCAGGAGTTGAAGACACACTAGTGGAAATAGAATCATCAACCAAAGGAAATCTTAAGTCCAGCAAATCCCTAACACAAAATATCCAGGAAATATGGGATACCATGAAAAGACCAAACCTAAGAATAATAGGTATAGAAGAAGGTGAAGAAATCCAACTCAAAGGCACAGAAAATATATTTAACAAAATTATAGAAGAAAACTTTCCCAACCTAAAGAAAGACATGCCAATAAAAATACAAGAAGCCTACAGAACACCAAATAGACTGAACCAAAATAAAAGGTCTCCTCGCCACATAATAATCAAAACCCCAAACATACATAATAAAGAGAAAATATTAAGAGCAGCAAAGGAAAAAGGTCAAGTAACTTATAAAGGCAAACGTATCAGAATTTTACCTGACTTTTCCATGGAAAATCTGAAAGCCAGAAGGTCCTGGACAGATATTGTACCTACACTAAGAGACCATGGATGCCAGCCCAGACTACTATACCCAGAAAATCTTTTAATCACTATTGATAGAGAAAACAAATATTCCATGACAAAACCAGATTTAAACAATACATATCCACTAATCCAGCCCTAAAGAAAATAGTAGAAGGAAAGTCCCAACCCCAGGAAGCTAGCAACATTCACAAAATGATAGGTGATAGAAAATCCCACTTTAATAAAAACCAAAAGAAAAAAAGGGCGGCAGGAGGATCCACACAAACAATCACCACCACCAAAAATAAAAAAAGCAACAAACAAGAATTAATAACCGAAGGTACTTTATATCCTATAAAAAGACACAGATTAGCAGAATGGATAAGAAGACAGAATCCATCCTTCTGCTGCATACAAGAAACACACCTCAACTTCAAAGACAGATAGTACCTAAGAATTAAAGGTTGGGAAAAGATTTTTCCATCAAATGGACCCAAGAAAAAAGCAGGGGTAGGAATCTTAATATCCAACAAATTGGAGTTTAAACTAATATCAATGAAAAGAGATGAAGGAGGTCACTTCCTACTCATCACAGGAGAAATCCATCAGGATGAAGTCTCAATTCTGAACATTTATGCCCCAAATACAAAGGCATCGAAGTTTGTAAAAGAAACATTACTAAAACTCAAATCACTTATAAAAGTACACACACTTATAGTGGGAGACTTCAACACTCCACTGTCACCACTGGACAGGAACACCAGACAGAAACTTAACAAAGAAACAAAAAAACTAACAGAAGTTATGGCCCAATTGGGTTTAACAGACATCTATAGAACATTCCAT